TAAGCAACTTTTTTCTTTTGGAGACAAGTTCTTGCTATGCAGCTCAGGCTGGCCTTGAACTCACCGGAATCCTCCTGCCTCTGCCTCAAGAGTGCTGGGATTACAGTGTGTGCCATCACACCCAGCTGGTCAATGAGAAACTATTAATCCTTCTGTGCAAATCCCTATGCCATGCATCGTGATTGATATAATCAAATAAACTACAGCCTAATGGGTAGGGGTTCAGGCTGGAACCAGATAAGATAACTGGACTCCAATCATGGATGGCCACTTTATATATTGGGTCCCTCTGCCACAGTTTCTTCTTCAATAAAATGAGGCTAGTAATGGTACTTCACAGAGTTTGCAGGTACTCACAGAGAATAAGAGGATATTTGTAAAGCAAGTAGAAAGTGCTTATCACTCACAGATAGATGCTACTATCCAAGAACTCACAATCCTGTGGAGCGCATGCAAAATACTAACAAGGTCAGCCTATGTTAAGTGGTGTAATATAAAAGCAAACACAGTACAGTAAAGGACTAGGAGGGAGCAATTCATTCTGGTTGCGGAAGGTTGGGATAGGCTTCACAGGAAAGGAACATTTGGGCTGGGCTTTGAACTGTGAGTAAGACTGACAGAAATAGAAGGGAAGGAAATGCGTTTCAGGCTGACAGACAAGACAGCTCAGTCTGTGGCCCTGAGGCATGAGAAGGCAGAGGCCATTCCCAGAGAGGACTGAAGAGCTACAACAAAAGGCTGGGAGGAGCTGGAGGGACCAACAGGGCAATAGCCATGGGAGTGGCTGAAGGTTGCAGCAAGTTTGGAGAACTTAAAGGTCTCGTTGTATAAAGTACTGCAGCTTGGCAGTTCTGGAGAAGACCAGCAGAGACTGAAGAACAAGAGAAGAGGAGAGAGGAAAAGTACTTCTTAAATTACAAAATGTGCACCACCATGATTATCAACAGTAGCAGCAGTGGCAACATGTTCAACGTAGTGACTGTTTGGGGCAAGAGCATTAGAAGTTCCTACCTAGCTTCTCAATTCTTGCCAGGACCTGTCTGTGCCCTGCCAGGGCAGTTTCACTTGAGCTAGGTGTTTGCAATTCCCTTACCAGCAACCTCAAACCATCCTCTCCCACGGTTTCCAAACAAAACCCTGGACAGGGACTTTGGTCTCTCCCAGTCACTGGCCACACCAGCTCTACCACCCAGGGCTCCACAGGGCTTAGCTCATTACTGACCATCACCTTTCACCTGCTCACAGGGCTCCGTCTTGGAATGTGTGCTGGTCTGGGCTTCCTCTTTCTCTGCCTTCCTCTTTTCTTCCTCTATCCTGGGGTAAGTTCTCTTCCTGGTTGTTTGCTAAGGGCCCTGCCTGTGACTCTGATCTGAGCTGATTCCTGCCTGCCTTTCACAACATAATCTTGCTTCTCCAGTCCCAGGTTGTCCAATGACCTGTTGCCACCTACACTCAGGCATGGCACACAGAACAAGAGCAAATTACCTTGTGCTTCTGCTTTGAAAAGTGTTCTCAATTAGCCACTTTGTTCAGGCTAATTTTTAGAAAAGGAGGAAGGACAAAGTGCTCATTTCATTTGATTAACCAAATTATATGGTTAACTCTACGTAGACTGAAAAAAAAATGACTATTTCATGGTAACATCAGACACCTTCCAACTTGGTGTCATTCTGGTATCCATGAAAAAAAGATGATCGGGAAATGGCTCTTATTAAGTGGGTGGTAGATGATTTATGGTTTGGCTCTGAAAACAAACAATAATAATGAAAAACACTCCCTTTCCCTTTATACAAAGTTGAATATATCAACTAGTGAGAAGATCAGGGAAATGAAATGTAGCCAAACAAGACCTAGAAATAAGAACCCCCAAGTACCCTTTAGACAATCTCCTCTTGTCCTACACATAAAAGGGTACTCTTTCTTCTCTACCCAGCATTGTAACTTCCAAGACAAGCCTCCATCACTTAAGTTGCCTGTGAAAGTCACCCAGTGGCACATGTCACTACATTCCTAGCCAAACACATCAAGGCACTTTCCTGTGCCCCCATATATTTTAGAGAAAAACTTCACTTGTAGCCATTAAACCAAATTCTTCATGTCAATAAACCAAGTACCCGACTATAGTATATCACTTGAAAAAAATTATACAATAAGCCAGGAAAATCAAGAATGAGAAAGAAAGAAAGAAAAGAAAAGAAAAGAAAAGAAAAGAAAAGAAAAGAGAAACAAAGCAAGTAAGCAAGCTTGAGTTTTCCTAATTTCATAGCCTCAGCCCAACAAATGTGTTTGGAAAAATGCCAATATCTCCAAGTTTCTCCACAAATCCTGTTACACATGGAGACCCTGCATCTTTCTGTGTTTTGTAAAAAGTGTCATCAACTTTACAAATGCTAGGAGCCTTTGCTCTTCCAGCTTTCACCCTAGCAGAAGACAGCCAGCCTGGAGAGGAACTGCCACGTAAAAGATGGCCAAGAAGGATGATCTACTTTCAATTTACCGTGACAGGATAATCTATTGAGAAATTAGCTGGCATGGTGGGACATGCCTATAATCCCAGCACTCAGGAGGCTGAGGCAGAAGGAGTGCTGTGAGTTCAAGGCCAGCCTGGGCTACATAGTGAGACCTTGTCTCAAAAAAAAAAAAAAAAAAAGACAAGAAAGAAAAGAGAAGAGAAAACTAACTGTGCTGTAGGTTTCAGAGAAGCAGACATAAAGTCATTTCCTTTTCTCGTACAAACTTCTGTGACCCATGGCCTCCATTTCCACCCCCAGAATGGTTTAGTTGGCTTTGCTTTAGAAAAGTCCAGGGGTGTCGAGAACTGACACCTAGACAAATCACCTGAGGACATGTAAATAATGGATATTTAGGGTCCCTTCATGGGTCTACCAATTAAGAATTCTGGGGATGAGGGGTTGGAGCCACCTTTTGAAGTCCCAACTCAGGGGATATTTAAGAATACTCTTTCAGAAGTATTATATCAACAGAGACAAAAACCCCTAAGATATCTGGTATGATGGCACACTGGGGATGTGAGGCTTCAGAGGAAAGGACCAACCTTACAACCAGGGCTGATCCCAAGGTAGGGAGCTTGGTCCTCGTCAGAGAGTAAGGCCCACTGGAAGGTTTTAAGCAGGTGACACACTGAGATTCACAGCTCATAGTTCAGGTGATGACCCTGTCCAGGAAGCCAGTATCCAGGTCCAGGAGATGTTCCTGACCTCCAGGCCCAGGTAGACCACACACAGCCCTTGTGACTCTGCTAGCCACACAGCACAGTACTGTGTTACTGTCCTGCTCTCCTCTCCACCAGTAAGCTGCGATAGCCAAACAAGGAACTTGCTCAGGGTGCCTGGACTATAGTCATTGTCCAATAAATGTGTAATCAAGTGGACTACTGCTTTCTAGGTACAAAGAGCACTGCCAAATGGTCCTGATTGTCTACACAGACAGCAACTCCACTGCACCGCTGCCAGTCCTTGTTTGGATGGCTTAGAAAGCTTCATTTCAAGCACAAAAACCAGGCCCTGTGTGTACACCTCCTTAACTAGTTTTAAGCATACTGCAATGCAGTGTTATCAAAATATATGTGAACGTTAAAACATTTTTAAAATTATTACAGCAAAAGGCATTGCCATTGATCCCCCGCTACTTGAGCACACATCATTCCAGCCATTCTGGAAGTCCTCTTTCCTGAGTCTGTCTGTAGTTGTGCTGGCCTGGCTGCCTCAATGTTCTGAATCAAAATTCAAAATATTTGCCTTTCATTTTGACTTTGGGAAAGAGTCAGAAATTGCATGGTGCCAGATCAGGTCACTGAGGCAGATGAGCACACAGTCTTTTATTGGACAGAAATTTCCATAAATATTTGAATTGATTCAGGATATCAAGGCTACAGAAAGACATTTACAAAAGAGGACTATGAGAACTCCAGAAAGTGGCAAGAAACATAGAGTACATATGTTCAATGCAAAGCGGATATTTTTGAGGGAGGAATAAAGGCAATATGTTTTTCACTATAATCATTTTTTTAATCACACACCATATTTTTGCTCTGTCCTTTTGAGAAGTTATTTTTCATTTTGATGTTTCAGAAGAACTAAAATTTTAAAATGCTCCACGTGCCCCTCAGACAGGAAAATGTATCAAGAGCAGATTATAAAACATCAAAGCACCTGATGTCCAGAATCTTTCAAATCCTAAACGCAAAACACCTGCATTCTGGTCAGGACCACGCTCCCCTGCCTCCAGCTCCAAGCACCTGTTTCGTGCTTGGTAGGGGAAGCGGTAATCAGAATTTTCCAATTCTGAATGTTTTTCTTTTTTAAAAAGTGGGCAAGAAACACTAGGAACCATAACGACTCACCCCTGTGAGATCCCCGCGAGTCCTCCCTCTTCCCAGGGAAGACTGAGTCACCAAAAGAGTGGCAGAGGGAATGTAAGGTCAGTAGTAGCTTGTTTACCTGCCAGCCTGCCGCACACCCGCAGAAGTGCGCACCCCAACGTCAGCACCTGATCCACAGCTCCTGGAAACGGGGGGTTCTGAGCACCACAGACCTTCACATCACTGCCGCGACTTGGGGGCTCGTTAATGGCTTGGGGAGACCTAAGTACTTAAGGCGCCCTGGAAAAGTGGCTGCAGAGTCGCCTGCTCAGGTTACACGGAAAGGCTGAGGTGCAAGTCCCTGGCTCAGCGCGTTACGGAATCGGCGAGCCCAGGACCGACCGTACCTGGCCTTCCAGGGAGCCCTGCACTTCGTACTCTTGCTCTACCTTCAAGGGCACCTTTGGGCTGCAGCCCGGACCTGGGTACCCGCACCTGCAGCCTCGGGCGGGCGGGGGAGGGGCTT